TCCTTGTGTGTAGTGGGGTGTGTGTGTGTGTTCCTTGTGTGTAGTGGGGTGTGTGAGTGCTCCTTGTGTGTAGTGGGGTATGTGTGGTCCTTGTGTGTAGTGGGGTGTGTGTGTGCTCCTTGTGTGTAGTGGGGTGTGTGTGTGTGTTCCTTGTGTGTAGTGGGGTGTGTGTGTGGTCCTTGTGTGTAGTGGGGTGTGTGTGGTGCTCCTTGTGTGTAGTGGTGTGTGTGGGGTGCTCCTTGTGTGCAGTGGGGTGTGTGAGTGCTCCTTGTGTGTAGTGGGGTGTGTGTGTGTGCTCCTTGTGTGTAGTGGGGTGTGTGAGTGCTCCTTGTGTGTAGTGGGGTGTGTGGGGTGCTCCTTGCATGTAGTGGTGTGTGTGGGGTGCTCCTTGCGTGCAGTGGGGTGTGTGAGTGCTCCTTGTGTGTAGTGGGGTGTGTGTGGGTTCCTATAGCCAGCTATGGGGGCCTGAGGCTAGAGGATTGCTGAGCCCAGGAGTTTGGGGTGAGCCTGTACAACAGCGTGAGACCCTCATCCACAATAAAAAATTAAAATAAATAGATAAAAAATAAAGAGCCCGTGGGCCATTTGCTTAGCCTGTCAACGGTCTTAGATTCCATCTCTAGTACTGGGGAAAATTAGCAAAGAATAAAAGACAAAGAGCCAGGCACTGGTGGCTCATGTCTGTAATCCTAGCTACTCAGGAGGCTGAGATCTGAGAATCAGGGTTCAAAGCCAGCCCTGGCAAGAAAGTCCATGAGACTCTTTTTTTTCCCCCCCCCGGACAGTCATGGGGCTTGAACTTTGGGCCTCGGCGCTGTCCCTCAGCTCTTCAGTTCAAGGGGAGTGCTCTACTACTTGATCCACAGTGCCACTTCTGGTTTTCTGGTGGTTTATGGGAGATAAGAGTCTCACAGTCTTTCTTGCCAGGGCTGGCTTTGAACCAAGATCCTCAGCCTCCTAAGTAGCTAGGAGCCACCAGCACTCAGCCTCCATGAAATTCTTACCTCCAGTAAACCACCCAAAAAGGGAAGCGGTGCTGTAGCTCAAGTGGTAGAGCACTCGCCTTGAGCTGAAGAGCTGAGGGACAGCACCCAGGCCCAGAGTTCAAGCCCCACGACCAACCAAAAAAGTGACAAAGAAGCCAGGTGCAATAGTGCATGCCTGCTGACCTAGCTACTCAGAAGGTAGAGATTGGGAAGATTGAGGTTTGACACCAGCCCAAAGCAGGGGGGAGCTCATGTGAACTTAGGGCCTGTGCTCTCCCTTGGCTGTTTTACTCAAGGCTAACCCTCTGCCACTTGAGCCACACCTACACTTCTGGCTTTTTCTTTTCTTTTTTTTTGGTCAGTTGTGGGGCTTGAACTCTGGGTTTGGGTGCTGTCCCTCAGCTCTTCAGCTCAAGGCCAGTGCTCTACCACTTGAGCCACAGAGCCACTTCTGGTTTTCTGGTTTTCAAAGCCTGCCTGGAGTAGCTAGGATTACAGGCGTGAACCACCTGGCTACTTCTGGCTTTTTGCTAGGTAATTGGAGATAAGCGTCTTGGATTTGTCTACGTGAGCTGGCTTTGAACCAAGATCCTTAAACTTAGCCTTCTGAGTATTCAGGATTATAGGCATAAACCACTGGTCCTACAAGACCCAACCTTTTTTATTGTTGTCATTGTTAATTGTGGGGCTTGAACTTGGGGCCTGGACACTGTCCTTGAGCTCTCTTGCTCAAGGCTAATGCACCACCATTCTGAACTACAGCTCCACTTCTGGTTTTCTGGTGGTTAGAGATCAGAGTCTCACATACTTTCCTGCCCAGGCTTGATTTGAACCGTGATCCTCGGATCTCAACCTCCTGAGTAGCTAGGATTATATCTCATGAGACTCTGAGAGCAGTGTTCGCACAGGGCCCCGAGGCTGACCCCTGCCCTAGCCCTTAGCTCCAGCAAGCAGCAGTGGTGCTGGGTGTCTGTACCATGGCGCTGGGTGTACACCGGCAGGGAGCCCCACCTTGGACCCCAGCGCCTTTGGCTGAGTTCTTGTGAGCTCTCTGTTTGTATCCTGGGCGCTATCACCAGCGAAGCTGGGGAGTGAGGTGACATGTGCTGGTGTCCAGCAGGGGAAGCAAGCTGGGGCAGAGCCAGGCCGGACCCCGCAGGTCTGAGGCCTGTTCCCCTTGGCCGGATGTGAGGCCCTCACTTCTCTCCCAGCCCTCCTTCTGCCCCTTGTGTCTGACGGTGTGTGTCATTTTGCACCCCAAGTCTTTGCTCTGTCGAAGGCACTGTCCATATGGCTCCCTTGCTGGGCATACTCCCAGGACACTGACGTGTGACCCTGTGCGGCAGAGCGGATGTCACAGGGCCGTGAGTTGGTGCCTGCTTCCTTCCTAGCCCGGGAGCCCAGACGGAGGGTGACAGTTGCCCCGAGAGCAGGGTACAGCGTGGGCCTGTAGGGGGCAGTGCTGTGGCCGCCTCCCCCTGCCCCGATGCCAGGGATCAGGGTGAGTGTGGAGCCGAGAGGCCTCCCCTGCCCACAGGGGCTCCGCTTCCATCCTGTCACTCGGGTCTCTGTTGCAGTGTGAGCCCTTCTCTCTGTTGGGAAACTGAGGCCTGAGGAGAGCCCTCCTCCCCTCAAAGCCAGGCTTTGGCAGGAAGTGTCTCGCAGGACCAGCCTGGACGTCCTGGTGTGCCGTGGAGGCCCCCGTGACTGAGCGGGTGGTAGGGCCAGGTCTGTGGGGTTCCTCCTGGGGGACTCCAGGGGCTCTGGCCTGCCTGCGGGATGGACGGTGGCCTTCATGACCCCTGTGTGCACCTGCGAGCGTGCCAGGCTGAAGGGCTCGTGACCCCTGTGTGTGCCCTGCGAGCGTGCCAGGCTGAGGGGCTCGTGACCCCTGTGTG